TGCTCATTTCTGCTATTCTCCATCGAGTCTTCAATTCCTAGTCAGTCTCAACTACCGCTGCTTCCATTTTTCTCATTCTACCCTATTTTATTCTTGGACATCTTCCTGGTCAATTTCGCTTACATCCTTGTCTAAATATTACATTTATTTATTTCCTTTCCCTTCTCTGAGTTGTGGATTAATTATTACTTTAGATTTTTCTCTCACTACTGTTTTTTCCTTATTATACCGTTCCCTTTTAATTTTGCCACATCTATAGTAATTTTCTCCTTTCTCTTGTTGAGCACATTTTCATTTACTCTGACAATGTTTCTAATGAAGAGAGTTGGTGGTCGAGCTCACCATGGCGATGAGTTGCTCTTGATTTCGGATTGTTTTGGTTTACTAGAGCGTTCGGGTTAACGCAATCATAACGAAATTTTTCGACATTTTTTTTTCATCTACGAAAGCTTCATAAGCCTCAAAGCGGAGTACTTTGTCTGTTTTATCTCTCATAGTTGGCATATTTTTAGCCATTTTTTCAAACATGATTGTGCTAAAAATGTTGGGGAAATGCTGTAGAGGACTGGTCTTTACTTCAAGGAAGTGGTTGATGTCAAGTACTAGTCTTGATTAACCATCGGCCAGCTTGCTGGGCTCCAAGTGTTTTACAGATGGCCTCCTCCCTAGTTTTATTGCTGTACCAATATCTTTGGGTCTCTATATTGTCCTGATAACAACTCGTCACGATGAATTGGGGAGAAGGCATAACGTTTGCATAGAATATCATTTTGCTGTGCACGTGCAAAGAATATTTCGCACCTTCAATTTGGAATATAGTTTTATCTTTACATGCCTGGCGAAATTCGGACCATGGCTATGAAAACTGTATAGCTAGCGCACTGTTGCAAAGGGCGTACTCTGTTTGTTTATTAATCCACAAGTCCGTGTTTCGATTCCGGCTGAGGGTGCTGATGGGGACTGAGGTGAGGTCGAAACTGCAGCTTGGCACGGACAAAAACGGCTCTTTGGGATACATAGCAATGGGAAGCTCAGGTCAAATGCAGGCATTCCTACAGGCACACCATTCTTCCGATCAGAGTGCATGTGAATTACTTGATTTTTACACACGAACGAGGCAAAATCTGGTGTGAGAAATGAAAATTTTAAGTAGACTTCTAACATAGAACGCCTTTTCTGCCCTAAGAAAAAACATTTTCAGGCTAAATAAATCTTTTGAAGATCTCCGTTAAAGTGATTTTGGACTGGAAATTTAAGTTTCCCGCAATAAGATAATTGGGCCTCATGATGTCACTGGAATTCGCTTAGCATTGCCTCTCAAAATTATGCTCATCCAGATTGGATTGGATGCTCAAGCTCATCACACCGTCATTCATCCGCATCCCCAACAAGACTCGAAACTGGCTTGTAAGTGTCATGACGACATGTCGTTCCCCCAAACAACCACAACTACCAAAGGGTCAAATTGCAATTGTAAAATCTAATACAAGTCCTGTCTCATCCAAATCACATTTAAAGTGGGATTGTTGATTAAGCAAACACGAGCTCGCCATTAAAAGCGACAAACTTACTTATTTATAGTATAAAAAGTTTTCGAGGCTTACGTCAACTTAGTCACCCCACAATTAGTGAGACTATTGAAAACCTCTTATACCGGAAACAGCAAACACACGTTTGCATAATATACATTTCTACTGAAAATATGATTTGGGTGGGACTTGACTCGCTTTGAATGCCACATTTGCCCTATGACCCTCTGGTACTCGTAGTTATATAATACTCTGGTATCGACTTCACCGCTATCGAATCCCTTTGGAGGAGCTGAGAGTCAAATATGCAGTACAGTCCATTCGGGGATGAGACAATGAAACGCAACGGCACCGAGAGGCAGGAGAACTCTTCCTTAAATCACTTTTATAGACATAGACAGATAAAGTTCTTATTCAAGAATTACTCATATTTTCGAGAATTATTTCTATTTAAGATGAATATAACTCATAGAAACCCAGCTTATATCAAAAGAACTTCAATTTCCAGCGTAAACAGAAAGTGGCGTCATCCAATATATCTTATTTTGGATGGCTTAGTCTTGATATTGAGGAATTCGTTATTGTACACATGGGAACATTTAATGCCTATTTATCTAGCTTTACACCCCCTCCCGTGAGGAAGGACACAGAGCAGCATGCGGACGGTGCTAGTGCTTCTTACCGTCAGTATCTGAGGTACTTCATTTCTTTCAGCACAAAGACTACTGCTACTTTTGCCTGAGCCCATGCTGCTGGTCAGTCCGGCTTAGGATTCAACGATTCTGTATGGTCTGAGCATGCGGGTGTACCGTGGCGGGATGTCAGGCTGTCTGTGTTAGTGCGTCACAGCCTTGTTCATACCTCGTTCATACAGTCCGATTGTCGCATAAATGTCCCCTTCCCCTTCTCTATCACTCACATGTCCGGCCGGGTGTGGTTCAGCTCCACGGACGAGGCATCCAATCGGTGGGATCGGCTTCGGCGACAGACCGAATAAACGCGACAAAGTGACATCACGTCAACTGGAGAAATGCACAGTCAATGATGATGTAACCTTGACGCCGGACGCCAAGACGAACGCCCAGCAGGTCAGAGCAAAAGTGAAAGCGACAACAGCTGTATCCAGTTAACAAATAAATAAGTATGACCACCACTATACACATGCCGCTTTTGACAAACCAAGTCAAAAAGGAAAAACACACACAGACTTATACCCACACCAATATACGAGAAGGATGTGAAAACCGTCCGTTTGTCTATGCTTCTGTGCCTCGTTCCCGCTCTCAGATTATCAGGCCCATAGGATACCAGCCAGTTGCATGTTCCGCTTGAGGCAGCGTACAGGAGCCCTTAGAACCAGGTCCTAGCCCGAGGCCCTAAAGTGGAACAAGCCAATACGTGTTATGAGAATACCAAGGCACGGCAACCGAAGAGGGCAATTTGTCGCGTGTGCTCACGCAAGACCCTACCCATATCCTCGAAGTGAGGAGGATTGATGATTGCCCAATTTTTGTTCAGTAAACCGTCGACAGCCGTTGTGGGGAAAAATAAAAAATGGTGTCAAATACCCGCAAGCAGTTGTGTCAGGAGCCAAAGAACAGCCCGCATTGCCCATTTTGACAAGGGAAATGTTTGGTCCAGAGATTCTGAATGAAATTTCTATTGGAGGTCATTTGGTCATTCGACATGTGTGTGTGTGTGTGTGTATGTGGTTAAGTGGGAAGGTTGGCTTGTGTCTGAACAGAGTAAGCGATAACGAGAGGTCGAAAATGTCTGTACAATGCGAGCTGGCGCTAGTTTCGAGGACTCAACAACAGAAAAATGTACATTTTTGGGTCAGATTAGGTGTAAGCTCTTAAATTGGAAAGTGAACATCTTATTTCAGTATTAACCAAGCGGCCGTCTAGACTCTGGTGTCCTGATCGACTTAGAGCCATATGTGGTTCATCTCATCTATGGTTCACTTCATCTATCTTTACCCTGTTGCCCTGTCAAGTAGTGGCCATTGGAGGGGAACTAGCGACGAGCAAGCGCCCGCTGGAGTGGTACCAGTGGCGGGTCCTGAAAAGTCAAGCTGGCTAGTCGGGAGGGAGATATGAAAAATGGGCTGTTGTAAAAATTGGCTCTTATGTAGAAGTCAACTCATCATAGCCTCCCAGTTGCCTTAAAGCTTATCAGCAACTATCAGGAGGACATATATACATGTTTATTGTAAATGGCTACTTGATCTTCCAGATGTTGCCATGAGACACCAGTTGCATCTGGGCCCATATCCTGCATCCTCTGACATAACTGCTATCTAGAACTGCATCTATTTAAGTGAAGATTCCCACTAGAAGTGCGACTGCTCGATATACATGATAAGATTTAACCTTCCCAGTCGCGATAAGAGCAATTTCACACGAAGCCCATCCTAGCAGTTGTATGAGAGGTTATCGTGAATTAACTTCACTTTAAATTAAAGTAGGATTACTTTCTGTATAAGAAATTTTCGAAACTATCACTTGATCATGAATGTAAATTTAGTCACCCTAGTTCGCTTAAGGTGACTTTAAGACAGAAAGTTAAACAACTGATAGCCTCAAAAACTACTTATATAAAGACTAAGTATGCTCGTCTATTGAAATGTCAAGCAAACGATTGCTTAATCGGCGATCCCACAATAAATACAATTTGGTTGAGGGATGACTTGCCCTTATTATCACATCTACCCTGCTACCCTCTGGCATCTGTGGCTGGGCAGTTGAAAGGTAGCCCCGTCCCGATATGCCCAAAGTCGGATTCGAATCCCGTTGGAGCTGCTATGTGAGGGGATAAGTGCAGCCGGGAATAAGATAGGCTTTTGGGAGGCTGGGCTGGGTTAATTTTAATGGCGTCCTGAGGTGTACTTTTCTTATTGTAGGAAAACTCAACTAACTTCTCCGCCTCACCGTCTCATCAAAATTCGCAACCCAATTTGAATTCGGCTTATGGCATTACGGCAACATATTACCCCCATTCAACACAGCTCAGGGTTATAGAGTGTCACAAGACAGGTGTGTATTTCAAGGCAAACCAAGCCGATCTAAAATCACATTTAAGCAACTATGTATTTACCATTACGACCGATGATATTACTTATATTCTGTATGAGTAGGCTTCGAAATAATTCGAGAATTTAGTCCTCTTAAACGACCCAGAGCGTTAATAATTAAGGACCGTGTAGAAACATAGTGATTTTAAATTTCAAGTGATGTCATTGACAGTAATGACAAATACGTGTTTTCTCTATCTGAATTCAACCATATATATGATTTGAAAGAGGTTTTGGCTTGTTTTGAAGGTCGATTCTGTGCTATGATCTATTGGAGCTCGTGGCGTAGATTAGCTAAATG